GTCTAGCATACTATAACTAAACATAATGTTAAATCTTTAAAGTCATCAATTATTTTTAGTGATAATGAACATACGATGTACATTATATAAACACATATTTTGTTATTAAGAAAACACGTTTATTAATGGTATCTATGGAGAAATTTAATAATTATTTGTTTATCCTCACTAAAGTTACTAAATAGTAAGAATAGATAAAAAAAAATTTAATTTTACATTAAATTTAAATATTATATAATATCATATAAAAACCTCTTTTTCCGTGGTTTGACCGATTATGCATAATACTAGAAGATTGACTGCATTCATTAACAAGCTTATGGAAGAAAGTACCAAATGAGGATTATTGATATAGTCTCTAGGAAATAATACGGAAGTGTATATATTAGTAATAATATCACTGATATTTGATGCAATAAAAATAACAATAGCCGGGAAACCATATATTGATCTATTGACTTGTTGTAAGCATTCTATAACATCCAAATACATGTCTCTCAATGTACTTAAGCATGATCTTCTTTCCGGAATTTGTTCATTTATCATGTAGACCAGCCACTTTATGTATGATATTAGTAGTACATATTCGTTAAACGCAACGGATTGGCAAAATTTTAAAACCAACATAATGCTCTGAAAATATTAAATACGTTTAATACATAGACGTCACAGCCGCTTGTGTTATACCCATCTTAGAGACTTATTACAAAAAAAAAAAAATAGTATTAACTTAATACTATTAAGTTCCCTCAACGGAATGACTTATTTTATTATCATACAACAATATTATCTGTGATTTAAGTAATTGAATGTTTCAATTTGAACCGACTCAAAACTAACTAAACTAAAATATTCTCATACAGTACCTACTACATATATAGAATAATATATTTTGCTTTCGCTTGACAATAGTTGGGTAATTATAATTTTTGCAGCTAGAAACTCAAAATTGGAGGCTGTGCCAATAGTTTTGTACAATTGTACCATGCTATTGTAAACAAGAGAGTTATAGTTATTTAAATTAAGGAAAAGGCTTATAGACAAATTATAGTCGTCCGGTAAACATAAACAGGAACAATTGTTAGCACATTATATAAGACACACACAATGTTAATTCCAGTAGTTTAGGAACAACAGCTCCCGCCAATAAGGAACTCCGAAGTCCGGATGACTATTCGTAAATCTTTGGTTATTTTGTATTTAATCAGAGTTGAGTGGTAATAAAACATATAAGCTGAAACTGAATATTTGATCTTTATCTATCTTTCCAGAATCTCCTAATCTACGGTTATAAATTAGTGTTGGCCAACGATAACGATATCGTGGGTATTTTCCGAATAATTTCGATATCGTTATCTAAAAATAATTATCGAAAATATCGCGGTATCGGCTCGAAACAATAAAGTTGATGGATATTCACTTTTATTACTTTTATCAGTTTTATCTATAATAAATTAAAGCATACTATTGCGATATATTTCAAAAAAATAGTTCAACACACTAAACAATTTAATCTAAATTCAGTGCCGGTTGTTAACTCACGGTTTAGACCTCGTAATGATTTTATTTCGTTGTTAATTAATAATTTTATAATTATACTTGCTGACCCGGCAATGCCTTGCTATTGCTAGATTTCAGTACATTTATATATGTTTATGAATATGTGAAAAGTTTGATATGAATTATATCAGATATTTAATTTGATTAATTTTTTAGTATAATTTTATATATAAGTGTGGAATATATTTGTTTCGTTATGAATGTTATGATGTATGATTTTTATTTTTTGTCAATTATATCAATTTGTCTTAAGCATTAAATATTTCTGGATACACCACTTACACAAGTGTTTCGCTTCTAGGGCTAGCACAAATAGATTTTGTTTGCATGTGACACGTGGCAGAGCTACGTACATTAAATTAAATTATATAAAATGTAACTTGTTGTAATTAAATAAAAATTGTAATCGATATCGGTATTTAGAGTGGTTTTTCACTTATAAGTTATAATATAATTCAAACTTCAAGGCCTCTAAGTGAAAAACTACTCTAAATACCGATATCGATTAAAATTTTTGAATTTCTAAATTATCGAATTATAACAGTTCCCTCAATCCCCTTAAACTACCATGAGAACAAAAGAAGAGGGTATGGCATATTTTTAAAAATATAGTAATGAATTAGTAAAATACTAAAATGCATGTATACTGTATAATATAAGCTGTAAGCTATATAAATATATAATTAAGATTCTAATTGTTTTAAATTGACAGTTTTACCAAACATTTAGTAAAATAGTAGAATACTGCTGGGAGAGAATCAACAAAAAAAAAACAATTTAATCTAAACCATTAATACAACATTAACTTTCAGCTTATGACATATTATTAGATGTAATGATTACCATAATTTTTATTACCATTAATTTTTGATTAAATCGGGTTTGAATTATTACCCATACGAGCGGAGATATAACATAAGCTATAACATTGACAATAATTCCAATAATAAAAAACCAATTCATTTTCATTTTTATCGGGCCGACCACTTTCAGCCGTATCAATTTTTCATGAATTGTTTCAAGCTTAGTCAGTACCATAGACAGATGGTTATCGAAAAATATTCTCCAAATTGGACATATCAATTTTCCAATAAAGTGTAATTGAAAACAACAAATAAGTATTAAAGACGTTAGTTCAGACAATTCCTGGTCAACTTTCATGATCTATAAAAAAAAATGTTCACAAGTACATTTCACAATTATTGCATCAAATTATATATATGTTACGGGCAAAGTGGAAAATTCGGGCAATGTATACAATGCCCGACATTGTACACAGTGACCGGGCATTGTATACAATGTCCGAGGTATATTGGGCAATGTAAATTGTGAAGTATTTATACAAATAATCTGCATAATATATTTTGTTAGATGATCCTGATAAACACTAATATGAACTTATAATCGCCATCTGATTGTGCCTGCATGTCGATCAAGTCAATTTGACAGCGAGAATTCATTTCAGAAGATATGATTGGTTTTACAACTAACCCTTTTTTAGCTGTACTTCCCTTCTTTTTATACGATTCGCAATTATTTAAGTATAACATTATTACATCTCTAGTTATATTTTTGTACTTTTTATTAATCTCGTGTTCCATTCTATTTCTACCTCCATATCCAACTGACAAATGAACTTCATGTATAATATCATATAACTGAACATTATGCACATAATATTTTATTGCATTACCTTCAAATACATTTAAAATTTAATTAATTTAAAAAAAATTGTAATACTCTTATATAAATAACCATATAAACGAGTATAATTAAATTAGTATATAATATCATTGATTAGGTAAAATGCAGATTATTTGTATAAATACTTCACAATTAACATTGACCAATATACTTCGGCCATTGTATACAATGCCCGGTCACTGTATACATTGTCCGAATTTTCCACTTTTTTTCCACTGTTGGTCAATATCAATTCTAACTCTTCATAGAGTCTATAAGTAAAAACCCCGAGAAACAAATAGTGATGGTCAAAATCTCGACATATTTTAACAGNTCGATCAAGTCAATTTGACAGCGAGAATTCATTTCAGAAGATATGATTGGTTTTACAACTAACCCTTTTTTAGCTGTACTTCCCTTCTTTTTATACGATTCGAAATTATTTAAGTATAACATTATTACATCTCTAGTTATATTTTTGTACTTTTTATTAATCTCGTGTTCCATTCTATTTCTACCTCCATATCCAACTGACAAATGAACTTCATGTATAATATCATATAACTGAACATTATGCACATAATATTTTATTGCATTACCTTCAAATACATTTAAAATTTAATTAATTTTAAAAAAATTGTAATACTCTTATATAAATAACCATATAAACGAGTATAATTAAATTAGTATATAATATCATTGATTAGGTAAAATGCAGATTATTTGTATAAATACTTCACAATTAACATTGACCAATATACTTCGGCCATTGTATACAATGCCCGGTCACTGTATACATTGTCCGAATTTTCCACTTTGCCCGTAACATATATAATACCTATATAATATGATGTAATAAGTAACAGAAATATATGATAAATTAAATAACTTGTGGTCTAAGCCTGGGTCATTTTAATAGGTTTATTATTTAGAGGGAAGATATGCGGTTGATTAGAACACGTGTATTTTTTTCATTAAAATCTGGGTGATCACGCAATTTAATAACTTATTTAAAGTATTTATAAAATAATGATAAGGTAATGATACAATATTATGATGGTGCCAATTGAATGCATGTAGTATGTAATACACGTCAGATGGGCTATTTTAATTTGAACACTAATTATAGATTATTTCATGATGTGAAACAATTTAATTAAAATACAGTTATTACCCATGTGTTGGCGGTGTAGAAAGCATACAAACCAGCAGAAATTAATATACTTCGCAAGACATAGAGCACCACCGTCGTCTTCAAATTGCCTTGGCTATAGTTTATACTACCAACACCGCAAATTAAAAAACCTTTGTTAAAATTATTCAATACTGATCTTACACTCATAATTACTTTTTTCACAAATTAAGAACAACAAAAAATTATTATACTTGGTGTTTTAGGATCTATGGTGTGTGGCCATAACTGATTATAATTGGATTCAAACCATTATTTTAATATATATTCACGAACGAATTTACATAATTTTAAATGAATTAAAAATTAATATTTCGAAAACTCATTGGAGTGAAAAACAAATATTGTTGTTTATTTAAATGTATGCTTATAACACTTAATATATATATGTATATTATACTCTAATGCAAGTTGTATATTCTATTATAGTACTTAAATTTAATTATGTTTGGAGTACGTTGTTCGTATTAATAACATAATATTTGCTATAAATAATTTATAGCTAGACATGTCAAACTATTAACTTATAGATACATTATACTTTTATATAATTGATATTATTTTAATTTAATATTTTTTTTTTTAATAACTAATGAGAAATCTCATTAACACAATACAACAATTAAAAAAATTTGTTAATCCAATCTACCCTATAGGTATATATTTTTTTAAGGTGTTAACTTTTTAAGTGATTTAGGTACTAATTTTCTTGTGGATATTATTCTCATATTGACTTGGTTAAAGAATTTTAAAAAAACATAGCTCTCACAACATCTCTGAATGTACTTAGATATGATTTTCTTTCCAGAATTTGCTCATTTATCACGTAAGTGGCTCATTCGCTGTTAGTTTAATATAAATAACATTTATTCGTAGAATACAACACACTGGCAAATTTTTAAAACCGCCAAAGTCGGCAAATAATATGTTATACTACGGAAGACATCATAGCCACTTGTGTCTTTATATACATGTAACAAAGAAATTAGCATTAGTTTTAGGTAAGGTCGTAAGGAATAAATATATCTATAACCAAACAAGAATATCATCTACGTTTTTAAAATTATGTTGTACAATATTTCGTACGCAAGTTGTTAGTTGTTTCCTTAGTAACACATACACAATCATAATACAAATTTTAATTAAACTATACTCATAACACTTTTTAAAATATTTAAATTTCGCTTAATCCTAAATCAGAAAAACTTGGATAGTATGTTAGTCTTTCAGTTTGATAGTTGGATAGCTATTAAAGTTATCAACTCAAAGTTGGTTCTACTATTTTATGCATGTCTCAAGTGGGAACAATAAAGGTCCCCCATTAGGGGGTGCAAGTTTGCAAGGTTGTAATATATCACCACTCTAGACAAATGTGAAATGATGGACATTTTTTTTATTTGTAAATAATAAGCTTTTTTTACTGATGATATTATACTACTTGACACATTACATAAGTACCTCGTTTATCTATGTTGTACATCTATTTCCAATTATTTTAACATTTTTGACTTCTAGGTTCTCATAAGTTTTTCTAAAAGAAATTTCAAAATATCGAAAATATGTATGGTCATGGTTTTCTTAAGCAGGCGTAAGAAGATTAGATATTGATGAAATTAAATATTTCTCCAACAAATATAGGTAGTTATTTAGTCGTAATTCGTTAACATAATATAGGTAAATCAAAGCCACATGAAGTATTTTACCATTCCGTACATTAATATTTTCTACAATATAACTACACTCTGTACAGTATACGATGCACACAAAGAAATATTCAAAATATTTTAAATAATACAGTATTTGTACTTCAATAATATTTAACAGTAAGTCGACATTGACACAGTTAAAAACAAAAATAATTTATTAAATATATTAAAATAATATAATTATAAAATATATTAAGCGAGGTTTTTAGTAAACATTATTTCGATCCAACGCGAGTCACGGAAAAAGAAATAAATTATAGTTAAACTAATCTAATATAAATATGCTTAGATATAGAGTAAGTAGAATCATCGTTCTAGCTCTGAATCATTTTTCGTATATCATAACTATGCGGGTTCTTATGATTAATGATTATCACTGAATTTCACACATCAAATTAACATAGCTTAATCGAAATCAAAATGTTCACAGACTAAACCAATACCCACTAATTGTATCTGCTTGTTATTTATTTAATTTGAACAAAATTTGAATAATTAAATAAGCAAATGCTTTGTTTGATAAAATAAGTAATTGTCTTTGATTAATTTGACATATTCCATATAACTCAAAATGAAAGTATTCGTGCAATCTTCGTAGTAAAAAAAACTTGATCTATATAAAAAAAAATGTATTTATGATGAATCACGTGTAGTTGAATTAGTAATTCAATTGTACCTACCTGACGTTTAATTCTAGGATTTCTTTCTATTAATGAACGTTGAAACAAAACAAGACTCGTGTGATTTATCTGAAAACCAAAATTAAATATGAAATAAGATGAACAAAGCAGGTACTTAATCATAAATCTTATGAACAATTAATATTTTACTGTACATTTTTAATCCTGATTTAAAATGTTTTTACAAGATGTTTATGTTTATCACGTTGTTATAAAGTTTGTTTTTGGCAATAATATTATGATTTACCCATGGGGAACATTTAATATTAATTTATAACTTTGAAGGTATTAAATTTCTAAGTATTAAATATCGGTAGAAAAGTAGGTATTTAAAATACCTAGGTTTTTAACTTATATAATAATATATAACATATTTTTTTTTTTTTATTATTATTTATAAAGTTTTCCTGACAATTGGTCATCTAAACTTAAGGCTAAAGGAAAATAATATTTGACATTTTGAAAAAGGTTAACATAAAAGAAAAAAAAAAAAAAAATTTTTACAAATCAGTAAGAATTGATAAATTAGAATTTAACAATGTTTATGAGCTTAGATCTAACTATATTTTTACAACAGTAATAGGTATGTACAATTAAGATTTAATTAAGAACTAATAAATGGGAAAATAATAATACAATAGACAATTAACATAGGAGGTCATGTGGACGTCCACGCTTGAGACGGCGTATTGGAGGAGGGACACTTAGGTTGTAGTATTTAGCGCTGCTAGCAGACTGTAAGTGGTTGAAGAAGTTGATTGTTAGTTTCTTTATATAATCAGTTATAGACGGTAGTTGGAAGTCTGTGTGCAGTGCAGCATTACGTATGAACCATGGGGCGTTAGATATTGTCCTGAGGACTTTAGATTGAAATATTTGTATCTTGTGTATATGGGTCTTAGCACAATTTCCCCACACAGGGACTGCATATAAAAGTAGTGGTCGTAAAATTTGTTTGTATAGCAAAATGGAACATTTCCAGCTTAGCGATGATTGTCGGTTTAACAATGGATAAAGTATCTTTAGTCTCTGATAGCCTTGTTGAAGTTTAGAGGTGATGTGTGGGTTCCAAGTTAGTTTCCTGTCTAATATTACGCCAAGATATTTTATGCTAGGTGACCAGGGAATGTTATTGCCGTACAGTTTTAAATTTCCGGGAGTTTTGGGGCGACGATTAGTGAAAAGGACTGCTGTGCTTTTTTGAGGGTTCAGTTTTATTTTCCATTTATCTCCCCATTTTTGGATGTCATTCAGGTGGTCTTGGATATTTTTTGTCACTGTTTCAACGTCTGTAGAGCTTGAATATATTGCGCTGTCGTCGGCATAAAGTGCTATTTCCGTATTAATCGATGTAGGAAAGTCCGAAACATATAGGTTAAAAAGTAACGGAGAAATTTTTGAACCTTGAGGTACACCTGCATTTATAATTTTTATTTGTGAAGTAGTATCGTTAATTTTGACTTTAAAACAACGAGCAGTGAGGTAGGATTTAATTAGATTGTAAATAGCATTTGGTGTGTTTAACATTTTTAGTTTATATAAGAGTCCGTCATGCCAGACCCGATCAAAAGCTTGGGCTACATCTAAAAAGGCTGCACCTGTATGTTGTTTTTTTTCGTAACCATCGCTTATATGTTCTGTTAGACGTAGGAGTTGTTGGGTAGTTGAATGATTTGATTTGAATCCGAATTGGAAATGCGGAATAGCATTTATTGCATTTAAATAATTGGTGAGCCTGGAATGTATAATTTTTTCAAAAATTTTTGAAACTGATGACAGTAAACTAATAGGTCTGTAGTTACGCGGATCAGTGTTATCTTTGCCTGGTTTTTTGACCATGATGATTGTGGCCAGTTTCCATTCCTTAGGAAAATATCCAATTTTTATTAGGGAGTTGAATAATATGGCTAAATAAGTAATTGCTTTCCTAGGAATATTTTTTAGGATATCATTAGTAATTAGATCGTGACCGGGTGATTTTCTTTTTGGTAATTTTTTTATTATATCTAAAATTTCGTTTGGACAAGAGTAAGGTAAAATATTTTGTGGAAAAATATTGGGCTCACATAGTTTTTGTTTGACCAGATTGTCTGTAGAGTTTTCAATTGCAGAATTGTTTAAAGTGAAAATATTTTCAAGAGTGTGGGCAAACAGTTCACATTTTTCCGAGTCAGTATTTTGGTAAGTACCACTCGCTTTTAAAGGGGGGATTTCATTTGAGTTTGGTTTAATTAATCTTTTAGTCGCTGCCCATAGATTTGAGTCTGCTGGGTGTATAGCAGATAAGTATTTTTGATAACTGTTAATTCTATGTTCTTCTAGTTGTCTTTTAACCTCTTTCGTTAAATAATTTAATTTTTTTCGATCAAGTGGTTGTCTGTACAATTGCCAGAGTCTTCTGGTTTGGTGTTTTGATTTGATTAATTTTACAATGTTGAGGGGAAGTTGATTAGGACTATAATTTATTACCGTATTTTTTTTTTCTGAGCATTCTTCGGCCGCTTGACATATGATTTCACGTAAATGTGTTACTGCAGTGTCTGCGCTGTTAGTATTTAATATATTTTTAGGAATAATTAGATTTGTTGTGATGTGTTGTTTGAATTGTTGCCAATCTGCTTTACCGGTGATGAGTTTGCGAGTAGGAGTTGAGAACGATAAGGACGCATCTAATGTAATTTTAACAGGTAAATGGTCCGAGTCGAGTTCGAAAAGTGGTTCTTGGTGCAAAGAAAAACGAATTGATTTTAGTATAATTACATCTAAAATATCAGGACTTCTACTTTGATCATATGGATAGTATGTGGGTGTGTCTGGAGCTGACAGTATCGCAGGATTGCTTGCAAGGTATTTATAAAGTTTACGTCCATTAGCGTTTATGGATTTACAATTCCAAGTTGTATGCTTACAATTTAGGTCACCTACTAAAATAATTTTTTGATAGCTATTTAATATTTTTTCAAAGTCGTTTATATACATTTGAAAACTAGGTGATTGATAAGCACTAATTATTGTTGTAAATGATTGGTTTATTGTAATAGATATTGCAACTGCTTCGAGAGTTTGTGTAGCAGGTAGATAAGTTAATTGATGTTTTATTTTGGATTTGATTATTATAGCAACACCACCTGAAGGTCGAACCGCTAGCCTATCTTTGCGATAGGTAGTATAACCGTTGAATTTAATTTTATCGCTAGCAATTAGATGCGTTTCACTCACACATGCAATATCAACATTATGAGCCGATAAGAAAGCTGCAAATGTGTTTCGATTTTTCTTGATTCCATTAGCGTTCCAATTTATGATAACTAGATTAAGATTATTTATAATGTTAGACGACATTTATATTATTTAATAGAGCAGGTAGATTTTCGATGACTTTTTTGATAATTTGTGAGACGAGTGTGCTGATTAAGGGCATAAGTGACTTAATAAGTTCGTTAGTGATATTTGAGTTATTTGATTCTTCATCTTGTTTAAGATTATTTTTTTTATTTTTAGTTTTGTCAGCATAAGTTGGAGTGTTGCTTGTGTTGAGATTTGTTTGGTTTAAAACTTGGTTTTGGGGATTTTCGATAACCGTATTGGTTATGGGTTGGGTATTTTTGTTATCGTGTACACAACTTTGTTGAGTAATGTGTTTAGGAGCGTTCTTTGATAGTTGGGAGGTACTTTTTTTATTTTTTATTTGCTTGTATATTTTACAACCTCTATAATTAGCAGGGTGATTTTCATTACAATTGACACATATAGGTGGACTGTTTTTATCCTTAGTGCATTCGGAGTAGTGGTGGTTTTCTAAGCATTTGACACATCTAGGGGGGAGGTTGCAGAAGTTTTTTGTGTGTTGGTAACGTTGGCAATTTTTGCATTGTGGTATGGACGAATCGCTTTTACGACTCTCGACCGAGACAACGCAATGAAGGAGGCGATCAAGTGAAAATATGTTTTTCTCGGATTTGTCTAGTAAGACAGCAACGATTGGTATGGGAGATTTGTAACGATTTTGGAGACGTGTGACCGAAGTGACGTTAAATTTTAGTTCAGTGAGGGCCGAAAAGATGGTTTCTTCGGGAATAGAAGTAGGTATATTTCTGATTATTACAGATAGGTTTCTTTCCTCAGGAAGTTGATAGGTGTGGTATTTAATGTTTTCTTCAGATAAGTATTTTGTAATTGTACGGTAGTCGAATACCGTTGATAAATTCAACTTTAAGAAAATATTTTTGTTGTTTATGTTAAAATTGTCTACTATCATAGGTGTGATCTTGTTTATGAACTCAATATAGTCGACGATATCATAAATATATAGTGGGGGAATTTTTTGAACTATTTGAATTACCTCTACAGCATCCATGTCAGTTTTCTCCGAGTTGTCATCATTTGTATTGTCAAGATTTGCGAGAGGAGTGTATTTATTTTTGTGCGCATGCCGCGGAGAAAGAGCCTCGCTGCTAGAACGTTTATTACCCGAGTATTGGGAAGTATTGGCTTTTACCATATTTGCACCATGCACTGAACTATTGATTTAGAAACACGCGCGACAGTAGATAAGCGAGCGAAATACGTAAACACAACCGGTTGCGATGTACGCCGCGCGAAGACTGATAACATATAAATACCTCTTTTGCCGTGACGTGAGCTATCCCGTATAATAGTAATATATAGGATGTTCTTATAAATATTGATATAAAAGAAAATACAAAATAAGGATCATTGATGTAGTCTCTGGGGAATAATATAGTACAGTAAAATGAAAGAATGATTTCAGCGATACTTGATGCAATAAAAACAACTATTGCTGGCAAACCATATATTGATCTATTGACTTGACTTAAGCATTCTATAACTTCCAAATACAGATCTCTGAATGAACTTAAACATGATGTTCTTTTCGGAATTTGTTCATTTATCATGTAGATCATCCACTGTATGTACAATACAAGTAATGTATATTCAAAAAACGCAATGCATTGAAAAACATTAAAAACCAACTGCATAATCTAAAAAATAAAATTGTTGGGGTAAAGGTCAGATAGTAATAATACTACATTGTAGTATCCATCTTATAAACGTAGATAGGTACTTTAAAGCAATATTTAGCATTAAATCTTTAGTTTAAGCATTAACTTATCTATCATCAAATCAAGAACATTATTTGTGTTATGAAAAAAATGTATGTAATGCAAAATTACAAGTGGATGAAGTGAAACTTCTTTACATAGGGTATGAAAAAAAGGTTATTGCCAATCATGGTCAAATATTAAGTAAGTATTGGAAAATTAAAAAAATTAAATTTTAAATTTAACTTAATTCATTATTTTCATTAGGGTAAGAAGATATTCTGCACTGGCAAAATTCTTTGAATCAAAACTCCTACCCCGAACATCAAAAGAATATCTATACTCCAGTTATATAATACTACCTCCCCCACCTTCTCCGGTAACATTCTCCCGGGGTACGATTTTACTAGGTCACCGGTGTTGATGTATGGATGTGAAACGTAGTCGGTAGTTAAAGGAGATGAAGAGAACATGAACACTTTTGAAAAAAGAGTACTACGCCGAATATATGGTCCTTTAATTGAAAATAAAGATTATAGAAAGCGAACAAACCAAGATATTTATCAAATATTTCATAAATATTAAAATATAGTTAATATTTAATATTTAAAAAGTGAAAAATTAGAATAAGGTGGTCACATTTGGAGGTTTGAAGGTATAGCAAACAACATTTTTTCTGGGTTATAGGGTGTAAACAAATTTCACTGGAATATCACAAGGAACAAGAATTGAAGATGGTGAAGACAGGGATAGGTGAATAGGAGTGCTTGAGGCAGCGAAGGTCCTAAATTAACTGTAAAAAGCTGGGAAGAAGATACAGAGATAAGATAACTGGATTATTATTTATTACCAAAGAAATCTTAGTGTCGAGTAAGCCACACCCGAAGGTAACACTTTTTGATCGCAACGGCTAAGTCCGTGAATCCAAATTACACTAACGGCCTAAAGAAATAAATCTTCAAAAATATTTAAGATATTTCAATTTCTAAGCGAGTTGTCAAATATTTCAATTAAAGATATTTACCATTACTTGCCTTAAATCTAATATATCGTAAAATCCCGACGTTCAAATACAGATTACATGTTTTCCATTTCGTTTTACAATAAGGTAATACTCATTCTTATGGGAAACAACACAAATTTAAATCTGCTTTATTGCGCATATGTAATAATGTAATAAGGGAACAAATACACGTGGATATTGCGCCCTCTTAAGATATGGTAGTGGATGTCTACAAATAAAATATGTGTTGAATATAAACTGTAAACTATTATACAGTAACAATACAATGATACAACCTTAAATATCAAGCCTTCTATCAAAAAATAGCCTATCCCCTCAAATCTAAAAAGAAGAAATTAAGTCATCATAACTCGAGCCACAATAGGCCACACTCATCTCACATACTCCTTTCTTATCTCTAAAGAACCTACCCCACTAGAAAAACCTTTCCGTCGAACACACTGTCACCAGATGATTTGAACATGTATTGTATTTTGAATACACCGAAGCACGGAAAATCTTCTCCAATCCGAATTCTCTCCGACTAGCGTTGAACGAAGGAAAACACAGAAGCAATATACAAGTTCTGCCATACCGTAAATTTAAATAAAAAATTATAAATATCTGTAAATATTCCATTTTAATTTTCTCAACCTATTTTCTTTCTCTTTATATTATGTTGTACAAATATAGAATAATAACCAATGAAGTTGACGTTTTTAAATAAAAAAAATAAAATATATATAAGCCTTAAGTTTTTAAAAATAATAGTCTTAACAAGCATTTGATAAAAAAGTAGACGATGATAAGTGATAACAGGAAAGGAACAAATTATCTAATTTGCTGAAATCATTTCCCTATACACAGTTAATAATTATACAATAAAAAAATATTTTTAAATTCGAATAAATTACCAAATCTATTATTTGTAAATGTTTGATATTTTTCGTCATCCATACGATCGGAGTTATAATAATTGCTATAACGTTTACAATAATTAGAATAACGAAAAACCAATTGAATTTTACTTTCATCGGCCCGACCACATGCAAGCGAAACAATCTTTCGTGAATTGTTTCAAGTTTAGATAATACCATGCATAGTTGATTATCCCAAATTAGGCGCCACATTATAGACAAGAATTTTCCAACGATGATTAATTCAAAACAACTGATCATTACTATAGAAGTTGTTTCTGACATTTCCGGATCATTTTTTATTGCCTGTAAAATGAAATAACGTAAGTACTTATTTGCATTTTGTATCATTTAATTATTTTCATTTAAAATATAAATCATAAATGTGTATTTAATTTTTTGTCTAGATAATGGACACCACTTAAATTTAACATTATTTTAAAAAAATTAAATATAGTTCTTACCCACATATTGCTACCGAAGAGTATAGCGAAACCACAACATATATATATACATCGCAATACATAAAACATAACCGTCGTCATTAAATTGCCCTGGTTGTAGTATATACTACCGACACCGCAAATCAAAAAACCTCTATTAAAATTATTTAGTACTAACCTCACACTCATAATATTATATTTATAGATTTATTTTTATTATTAAGTACAAATACAAAAAATAAATAAAATGGCGATTGTTTGTGTTTTAAGATAAGTTATGTAATGTTTGACCGTTGCCGATTTCCTCTGAATCAAGAATATGGGTTCAAATATATTAACGAATGGATTTACAAAATTTAACAATTAATTTAAAATGAACACTACGAAAAATCGTAGAATTGAAAAACAAATACTGTTATAGAGCTAAACGTATGAGTAATACCTGATTTTTCTGATGTATACGTACATAGGATGATATATAGTACTTATTGTTGTTTATTATATTTTAAGTAGGTTGCCTATATGAATAATATAACTGTAGTAAATATTTTATAGGTAGATAGGAAGATATTTGATAAGTGTATACCTTACGTCAAACTATAAATGTATCATTTTTATGTTAAACTATTAATTGTTCTTTATTGTTCCTTTATTTAGAATATTGTGCTTGGCTCAATAATTGTTAAAGTGAATAGCAAATACTATCGTTGAAAAAATATATGCGTAACACTCATTCAACTATAACTACTTTGATAATTAAAATATGGCAGTATATTATACAATGGGTTCCAAGGGGAAGCGTTTATGAAAGTATACTAAAAATGAAGAAGAAAAATGGGTACCCTTTAAATAGGGGGTCTAACTTTTTAATTTTTTAAGTTATGACCGATTTACTTTTTTTTATTTCTTCAAAACTTTTCAGCAGTTTTTTTTTCAAGCTATTTAATGGGTCCTATCAAGCATCAACCAACGCAATTAAACCGGAAATGTGTAAATTATTTTTATGATGATATGAATAAACCAGCAATTAAAACTAATGAAATTACCCAAAAAAAGCTAGAAAAAAAGAAAAACATTCTTTTTGAAGTACCTATTTAACTGTTGTATGAATGAAAGTATGTGCTAATGAAATGTGTTATTTTGGAACACCCCAAAAAAAAATTAACATTTCATTGAAATTTGGACTCTATCTAAATTACTAGTAATTTTTTTACAGTTTATTTATTCATAATAATCTTATTTTGGGTAAAATCATTGAACTATAGTTGTAAAAAATAACATTATTCATTTTATCTAAATTACAGTTACTTTATAATATAAAGAATATTAAATATATTAATTAATATATATATATATATATTAATATTATATTATATTTTATATATATATATATATATATTATTTATTTTAATATATTTTATATTTAAATATTTAAGTACACATTTTAACATTAGAATTACAGTGTATATTATGAAAGGCACGAAATATTCTTAGCAAATAAAATATGTAAGTACTTAACTATAACCATTTGCTTATTATCATTGGGCTTACAATAATGATGTATTTTAATTTCAAATTGATTTTTTTTTTCCAATAACTATTATTTTTATTATTAAATAAAATATATTATTACGTATGTATACTCACTAAAGATTAAAAAATTGCACAAAAATTGTGTTGTGCCGGAATGAAGCATTAACACAACGTTTTATAGTCTGGTGTGTTTCGCTTAATGTGAAGCAGCGCGGTGGCGTGATGGTTTTAAGCGCTCGTTGTTGGTTGCTGGCCGATAGAGTGATTATAAATGCAATTCGTGTACCTAAATAATACGTTTATCGTACGTTAAACAATGTCGTGATCTTAATATTTCCAATACACAATATTTTATTTCATGTCAATCGATTATAATTATAATTGCACGAATGTGATCAAATTTGATTATTATAAGTAAACTTGAATGTCAACTTAGAGTTGCCATACGTCCCGGTTTTGCCAGGACACTACCGGTTTTTAACCAAGTGTCCCAGTGTCCCGAGAAAGTGTTTCGGGACAGCGATTTGTCCCGGTTTCAAGATTTTACTAGATAAAATACAGATTTTAAATTATGAGAAATCATTGTCTGCCTACACATTATAAAATGCAAGAATATACTCGCGATAATAATTTATAAGTATTTTATTCATCTTGTGAAGAATTCTATGACCAAATTTTGGGAAATAAGTCTTTATTAAAACAAGTTCATAGATCAGCCAAATATGCAGTAAAATCAACAGAAAAAACCTTGGACTCCGAAAGTTCAGAAGACTAAGAACATTAATTATTATTATTATCATTATTATATTGCTTGTATACATAATTCATTCAAAACAATTTATATACCTAAATATATATATATATAAAAAAGTAAATATTATTTTATTATAAATGTCAAAATGTCCCGGGTTTGAAAAAATATAATCTGGTAACCTTATGCCAACTTAAATCTTATTATTTTCTAAACGATACCACAAATGAGTAATTGTTAATAATCATTGAAAATTGAGCTTTATTATTTCATTACTAATGTATGTCTACTACCGCTCAGTGTGCATCTTAAAAATAACTATTTAAATGTTAATATATAGTTTTATTAACCAAAAAGTCTCCAAACCTAATACATAACTACTATAAATTAATATTTTTACCATTATTATAATTGTCTATGATATGACATATATTATAAATTATAATATTTCCATATAATCATTCAGTGTATAAATCAAACAATCTGATTTTATTTATGTAATTTCGAATTCAGAGTGACTTACCAACCATGCCACCCCATTGTAACGTTTAATAATATTTTAACTATTCAAACTATCTATAATGTTGACTATTTAAATATATTGGTAGGTGCTTAAATATTTGGAAGATTAAATTTGAATCAATGCATGTGTACCAACTCCTTGTCATTGTCGTATATTTGTAGCTAATATAGTTGATCAATCAAGTCTATTGTCCTAAGTTCTTGTAACAGGTGGCTTAAATAAAAATAAAAATTATTGATTCGAATAAAAGTAAATCTGGTAAATTCTGGTTGGTATACTATACAATAATATTTATCTATTCGACCATGTTTATAATTCAATCTTATTACTACCGATACAAAACAGATTACATAGTTGTATAATTGTATAAAATATAATGTAATAATGGTTTTTACAGTTTCCAATCTATTCACCGAGACCGTGAGCCACAGATATTCCTCACGTCATGGCGCCCGCCATTTCAAAACCAATAAATTAATATAAGTTGAGTTTTACTTATTTTAGGTGGTTTTAAGTTCCAGATCATGTAATAGGTATTCGTAGACCACAGTTAAGTCTAGGACGCAAAGAATTTAAGAGGATTGGATTAAGATTCTGGTTAACATATATTACTATGTCTATAATAATTTTTACTGCATGTGACGTAATAATGTCAAAAATACAAAAATCAATGACACATTTATAATTTTTTTATTAATTATTTATTTGTGTACCGTGAAATTTTTTAAAATGATCAAGTGCGCCGTTAGGTAAAAAAAGGTAGGGAATCCCGTCCTAAAGGAAAGTAAAATTTTTTCATGGAAATTATAACATTTCATGAAAAAAAATAAAATTACATACATGAACCTAAAATTAATAAATGATACAGTTAAATTAGACGTTTTTTAGAGCCTAAATAGCATTATGAGTCAAATCGACTTGAAAAAATTAGGTCAATCCAAATCATGTACTAAAAATAGGTGTTACTATTGAAAAAAAATACATTATGTACTGCACATATGCGCACCGTAAGTGTTAACATTTTGAAAATTTCACAAAATATTTAATTCATTACCTCTTAGCCCCCCCCCCCCCCCCCCAAAAAAAAAAATTCATTTTAACACATGTTCATCCTGCCAAAATATTTAGTGTTGCCTTAAATCGTGATCACACTGTATATTTAAATTTTACAATTTCTTTAGACTTTAGTATACATTATTTAATTAATACACATACAAAATTAATCGATAATGTTTGCAACAGTTGAGTTTTTTAAAGTTACGGTGTTATGTCTTACACCCGATGTCTGGAGCCTCGAAGGGCTCTCAAGAATTTAATCAAATATCACCGTACAATACAATTGTATGTAAATTAATGCCTTATCTTACCAAAATGTAAAAACGAATTGTTTAAACAACGTTTAAATAGTCATAAAAAAAATGCAACACAATATATTATATTATAAATAAGGGTGATTCGCTAAGAATAACAAATAAATAAATATACGATACTGTTGACGTCTCCATCCGGTGGTTTCGATGCCCCCAGCTGTAATTTTTCAGTATATATTATATTTATATACAAATAGGTATCAACAGTGTATATTATGCAATTATTCAATTATTGCAGGCAAATAATTGTATTTGAAATCCATTTTGCACTCTGTATTTTTTGGGATAAAAATTGTAACTTTTGTTTTGTATTTTATATACATTGTTTAAGTATTTTGTATTTTTAGAATTAGTAAATACTCAAAATATAAAATAAATAATATCCCATAGGCCCTAGTACAATTTTCACGTTGGATTTTGGTCCAGTGGTGATATTAGGATTTGGGATATACGAATTTTACGAAAATTCATGTGAAATAATTAATTAGTCAAAAAGAATTCATCGAGTATTTGAACTATCAAGATAAAAATATGTGACATTTGTGATTTTTTTTTTAAGTTGCTGATAAAAACATGTTGTTTCAAAAAAAATCTAATACAAGGTTCCTCATAATTTGTTATGACTAGAGTTTAAAAAAATGATTAAATTTTTCTAAACAAATGTATTTTGTGACTGTGTGGGCTGGGTACTTAACATTTTATGGCAGTATTTCTATCAAATTCGTTGGACGGCGCAATGTGTGGGCAATATAGGTACATTGTTGAGTAGAAAACATTTTTATTTATTTAATTATTCCTATAGACTAGCGAAATAAAATAATATTAATTGTATATTTTATTCAATTATTCAAACATAAAAAGTTTTAATTTTATATTAAATGTACACGGAAAATGCAATTACCTTTGTGTTGTATAAAAATTATAAATTTAAAAAACTTTTTTTCTTGTAAAAGAGCCTATTGAAAATTACTATGCCGGGGGCCCAATCATAAGCCAGACCAACACTGACACTATTATAGTAACGTTAAACAAACAAAAATGTATTCTAATGTGAGCCATTTGATATTATTTCATTGCCTGCATTTTGCCACCGTATACATTTTTAATCCTATCTAGCTTTTACTAATTTATTTGTTGTACCGTTTAACAAAACTTTTACAATTTTAATTTTTACAACACCATTTTCTAAGTAAAAAAGCTAATCGGTTTAATACAATATGTACCATGTACGTAGTTTTCGCAAACTGAATAGTACCTAAGTAATTTATTTGTTATGACGACGAAATTTAGTCGTGAGCTGGAGTAACCATGATGGATCCATAATGTATTTTTGATTCTATAAGGTCTGCAGATAATTAGTTGTTGAATAATAACACATGAACTGTTTTTTATATATAATAAATTAATTGTGAAATCACATTACATTTATCACATTTCAACAATTATACAAATAAGTATAGCAAAGCCCAAGACTAAGTATGGTGTTAAGACCAAACCTCAAATGTATATAAAATATATATGGTAAATAGGTTTTGAGAATTAAAAAAAAAAATGTTACTAATAAATTTTTATTGTCTCTCAGTTGAAAATTTGAACATAGTTAATATAAGCATAAGTATTTTATATATCATGGACTTTGGGATAAAACTACATAAATTAATTAATTTGATTAAATGTATTGTTTACCCATACGACGTGTGCGTCATAGACTTATTTGAATTCACTATAAATTAAAGTACATCACATAAACCATCATCACTGAATAAACTTTCCTTAGTTGTAGTCTATACTACCCTTGCCAAGAATAACCATAATAATCTCTTGTATTCTTCTTATTTGTATATTTTATAGTGTTTATTTTTCTTTCATGAGTGAACGTTATTGGTATAAATTGAATAAAAACTACTTTTTAAAATATATCATATATAGATTATAGGTATACGAATTGAATTATTTAATTTTCTGAGGAATTTAAATTGTATAGGTACTGTGACAAATAGTTAGGTACTAACCTGAGAAATAGTTGACCTCCACAGACTAGGGGTGAGTTTTTCTAATTAAATATATATGTTTAGCGCTCATTATTGATTATATTGATTATAAACATTAAATAAATAATACAAACATAATATAATGTCTATATGATGGCGAAATAAGGAAATATCATTAAACAAAATTGTGTATCTTAAATAGGTAATTATCAGTTATCTTGAAATATTATATAAAAAAATTTTAAAAATAAAGTAAGAAACTTCATTTTTATTTTTATTTTTATTGACATTTAAAATTGTATAGTACTTTATCGTGTTCAATACAGTGAAAATAATTAATTTTAAATGTCTACAATGGCTGATACTAATATGGTAATGTATTAAAAATAATGGCTAACAGAATCAAATCTATATTTTTATAGTGTATTTTTTTCAAACGTTAATGAAATTAATGAATTCAGATTTTTGGAATTTCAAAGTTTATTTTATGACTTTATTTTTCAATACAATTAAGAGAGTGCTCTGTGACGATATAAAATTAAAAACCATAGAACTACTGGCCTAGACAATAAGATAGAAATTCTTCTTTGATATACACATTGTATTGATAAACATTAAATTACATTTTTATTGTTAATTTAGCCGATAATATGCATAATGCTTGATAACCATAAATGCATAATTGATCATATATTATTAATTAGGTTATAAATAATATAGATTAAATAATTGCAGGTACTTATACCTATATGTATACTATAAATACTACTAGACAGGAACTGTGTATAACAATAACAGGGGTGGATACACTTTTTTTGGTCACGATCTACTAAAAATATACTTCACCTTTAAGGATCGACTTTCATAGACAATTTTTTTAACTGAACAGAAAAACGTATCGACAATTTGTTCACTACAACCTCGATTAATTTTCGTACTAGTATAACTAAAAATAAATTCTAACATGATCGACTTTGAAATTGTCCGCGATCAACCGTTTGGTCGCCCCTGGTGTATAACAACAGCATATGGGCTGTATAACAACATCTCGCAGTGATATAGGCAGCCTTTACAAAAAAATACAATAAACTATATATCTATGTATTACTCGTCTCGTTACTCGTGCATACGAGTAATCGAGTAATCAAAAAGCGCCCTCTATGTTATTACGCTTTCCATACACGCATTGCTCTTGTCTAGGTAAAGTCTAGTATAAAGTCTACATTTATAACTAATTTCATGGGCAGCCGAATCTTGGTAATTCAAATGTCGAATGCTGAAAGTTGATACCTCGGTTGATACAAATAAATTCAACTAGTGTATTTCTCGAGTTATTGAGTTTTTCAGCACTAGTGCACTATATTATTATGACAGGAAACTTTATAAAAATTATTTTCAGTAAGACAAGAAAAAATTCAAGATATCAAAGTTTTCGACTAATAATAATTGAGAGTCGGGTTATCGAAATCTCGAAATTTATAAAATATATGTCACGGATAATGTCCGATGTCCGAGTAATGACGATATTATCCGGGTAAACTCGAAGTTACCCTTCATGTACAACATTACCCTAACAACTGTAGTTTATGTTAAATTTCGAATGATTTCGATCCGATCGAGTAGGTGATGTCGACATAACCCAAGCATCCTTGGACCTTGGGACATTATTAACTTAGCAGTAAAAAAAAGGAATGTATATTTATATTTTAGATTGGTAATTTTTTTAACTATTCAAATAATATTATTAATATTTAAAACATACCAACAAATAATTAATGAAACCATGATAATGAATTAGTTCCCAACTTTGTACCTCTGTCTGCATCAGGTACCGAAACTACCCCAGTGTCAGATATTTTTGCAGCATCTATATTTATTAATTGATCTGAACTTCATTATTTTCGCCTTTCGATTTAAATGTTCTTTCAATTCACTTACTCCTATAATATCTGTGAATTAGTTTCAATTAGTTATCAATTATTATTCACAATGTCTATCTACGATCATAAGCCTATAATGATATAAGTTGTAATATTTTTTCGAGTATTTTTCGATCAACTATTGTCTATAAGGTATTTCAGAAATCGGCTGACTAATATTGTAAAATATGCGCACGAATACGTGCAATGCACAGTAAAAAAAAACTATAACCTAAAGACAAAAGATAAAATTAAGAGTGTGGCTTATAATATTATGTACATAAAGATTCTAATTAAAGATAACTTTTTCCGGAGATTTGATTTCAGAGCTTTTTTTCGAATACCGCATTGAACCTAGGTATTTTACTATTTTAGACAATAAACTGTCTTAAGTCTGTGTAAAGTGGGAAGGTAATTGTTGTTGGTTGAATATAGTATCATAATAATTTTTAAGTGAATTTAACATAAGTAGGAAGTTGTATAATTTTTACCTATGAAAGCTCATCGGAACCAATTCGTTTATGGTTTGTTTATTTATTTGACTTTGACGAAATCCAAAGGCAATTGAGTACACAAAGAAATACTTATGATGTCGATAATATTGGAAAATGAATAATTATACAGTTAATAAATTTCAAAAGTTTAAACAAACGCAGAAGTTTAATTTAATTTTAAGTCGTTAGTCGTTACAAAATACGATTTTTTAACGTTATCTTTTTGGTAAATTTAGGTCTACGGATGAAACAAGCCAGTGCAGCCAACGAACGCGGCCGACCGTGCCAGTTAATGCGTTATCTTTGCGCCGACGTCCGTTATCACCTCAGAATGAACACGGGCGTTTTGCAGACGTGATAGTTATTATTAATATTATTATTACTATTTGTCGTATTAAACTTTAAATCGTACAGATTACTAGATTAATAAACAAGTAACAACGGACAAGTTACAAGTGTCACAAATACCTTACGATTTAACAAGACAAGTTTGGCCGTGCTTTTTATACGCACGTCTCATCCATATTTTGTAGTGGAAATCAGAGCGAGATCGCGTTTTCATTTGTTCGTTGATTTTTTTATCTGTTTTCCCCCTTCGAATTTTGTGTCTGGAAGTGACGTGACAAACGGAGTCCGGCCATCGCGTAACGTTTCGCCACTGGAATTTTTTCTACAGTTTTTAGATTATGACTGACGAAAAATTACCGCCCATGATGGCCACAGATGATCTTGTCGACGACGAGGACGACGATATTTTCAGTTCAACAATAGACGTGAGTGGCCGTGACGTTCGTAGGGGCGTTTCAGGGGGAAAGAAAATCGTTTTAAACTGAACTTTTATTCTATTTTTGCTTATTAGGATCTTAGCAGTTTGCGCAATGAAGAACTTTTTGCATCGTTAGCGACAGTTCCTCCCCCATTGACCAATATTAGTCTGAATGAAGGATCATCCACACTGCTTGAATCAGATGTACCGCTAAACAATGATCACAAAGAGGTGGGTTTTGGCAACGGTATTTTTGAACAAGGAATTGTAATTTAGTCTAATAAAAAAATATTAATATATAGGTAATGTAAATGTACCAGAATCCACGTAGGGGACAACCCTAATCAATTAAATAGATCTCTCCCACTTAAAACAAAGATTTAAAACAATTTATTCCATAATAATATCCAAATCAAATGCAATTTATCATTAAAATCAGTCACTTGAAAAGTGGATAGATATTTATATTGTTTCTTTTATACATATTATAATTTATCTAGTTATGGTATCTATCTCGTATTATAAATGATATATTCATTTGAAATTGTATATTAAATTCCAAGTATGACTAATGACAATGTTTTATCTTAATACTGTAATATATAAATAAACTATTTTACTTTATTATCTATTGGCTATTAAACATTTACTATCAACATTTTACATTGAAATCAATTGCCACCCATTAATTTGAAAATAGTTATTAGATATAATACCGTTCATTGTACAATAAACAATAAATTGTCTTTTTTATGTTTATGTATATCAGAATTATTATCATAGTTTACATAATATTATGTTAACCTATAGTTATTCTGAACCTAACTTCTAATTTTTCAGTCCGAAATCTAGATATATGTTGAATTAATTTTTGTATTATCAAATAATCTCATTAATGTAATGACTAATGAGTTAAAATTGTTTTAAGTCTTTCATAATTAATTTTATTCATTAAGTAGCATGCTACATTTTCTGATGAAAAGAAAGTTATTGTTATAACTATGAGGTTTTTAAGATGTTTTGTATTGTTTATATCACATAGAAATAATGCTTACCTTAACAGAATTTATTTAATTTTTTTACGATGACATGTATTTTTATTTTTTGTACGCAATAACACAGGGATAATAAAATATCATTGTAATTAAAAAGCACTTGAGTAACACAAATAGATTAAAAAATTAAATGTTTAAGTATAATATGAATCATAAATTTATTTGATTTTGATTACTTATTAAGTATTAACCTTTACTAGTTAGTGTTTGTTAAAAATATAGTTATTATTATTATTTTTGTTGTTGTTAAAGGTACCACAGATGACTAGTAAAAATGTAATTTCTAATGGATTTGAAGAAGAAATCAATTTAAAAGAAAACGATACTCCTTCAGTTTCTGAAGAAATTAATCAAGTGGAAGATACACCAAATGTGTCTACTAACGAAATGAACTTTGAAAATATTGAAAACGGTTTTATAAAAATATCTTTATCTGAGACTACTAAGGTTGGAGAAGGCATGAGCTCCTATGTTGCATATAGAATTGTTACTCGTACAAATATGACTATGTTTAAAACAAATAATATGGCAGTTCTTAGAAGGTTCAGTGATTTCTTAGGATTACATAATAAGCTGACTGAAAAATATTTAAGAAATGGGCGTCTCATACCCCCTGCTCCCCAAAAAAATATGTTAGGTATGAGCAGCATAAACAAATTGTGTTTTTGTGTGTATGAAATAAGATAAAATTAATCTAAGATTTTCAAATTGTCTATAGGTTCAACAAGAATTAAAATATCTGGAAACCAATCTGATCAAGCAACATCAGCAGAGTTCATAGAAAAAAGACGTTTGGCGTTAGAAAGATTTTTAAAAAGGATTGCTTTACATCCAATTCTTCGTAATGATAAAAGCTTTTGTGATTTCTTAGAACAAGGTATATTTTATATTCTAATTGTGGTTTATACATAATCATTTGTCTTTAATAAAACTGATTTAGATTGTGAACTTCCAAAAGCTACTAGTACATCTGCATTAAGTGGTGCTGGTGTCATGAGACTTTTTAATAAAGTTGGAGAAACTGTTAACAAAATCACTTACAAAATGGATGAAAACGAACCAGTAATTACTTTTATTCATTATTATTATTTATGAATTAATGAAATTTGTTTTTAGTGGTTTGAAGAAAAAGAAGTACAAATAGAAAATTTAGATTTGCAACTTCGCAATTTACATGGAGCTGTTGAAACATTAGTGATTAATCGTAAGGAATTAGCACATTCAAGTGGATCTTTTGCAAAATCAGCAGCAGTATTGAGTAACTGTGAAGAACATACTGGATTGTCACGTGCTTTATCACAACTTGCCGATGTATTTGAAAAGGTTAAATTTTAACCCACACTGTTTTATGATTTTTTCATATCAGTTAAATTATTGATCAATATTATTATAATAATACCTAATATTATTATTGCATGTAATTAACTATTTTAATTATTAACAAATTTTCCATCAACTAAAATTTTTTGGTCAACAATTAATAATGAAAAATATGTTACACTCACAACTAAATCATGATAATTGTTTTACACTTTTTTTAATTATATTTTATAGGTTGAATCTGTAAGAACTGAACAAGCCAATACAGATTTCTCTATTTTTTGTGAACTGTTAAAGGATTACATAGGCCTTATCGGAGCTGTAAAAGTATGTCATACTTTATTCAATTTGTGCTTATAATTAAAATTAAAAAAATTATTATTTATTCAATATTATTAAAATTATTTGTTTTAAATTTCTCTAGAATGTATTTCATGAACGAGTTAAAGTCTATCAAAACATGCAACATGCACAAATGATATTGACAAAAAAGCGGGAACAAAAAACCAAGCTAGAACTTACGGGGCGTTTAGACAAAGTCGGCTCCGTTACAAATGAAGTATCCGAGGTAAATTCCATAACAAATAATAATAATTGTAACTTATAATACTCAATAAACAATAATTATTGTTTTGTTTCTAGTGGGAAGCAAAATTATCTAGGTGTCAAGATGAATTTGATCAAATTTCTAAAACCATTAAAGTGGAATTTGAACAGTTTGAGATAAACCGAATCAAAGAGTTTAAGACAGTTATATCATCATACCTTGAAGAAATGATTAACCATCAAACTCTGGTAACATTTTCATTTTATATATTTTTAAAGTGATTACTGTGGTAGAACTCTGGCTCGTTAGTGGCTACTATGCTTCTTCTTTTTTTACTTAGATTTTCCACTATTGTTGATGCATTTAGTGCAAACTCCAAAGACCAAATATTAAATTAAAAATTACTACTTTTTAGTTGGAGTTTTTTAGGTTAAAAATTCCTTGTTTGATTATATGCTTTAAGAGGACGCCACACTCGCACATGTTGTCTCAGTCTTACAAACGCATAAACAACCAAATTTACATTCAGCAGCTCACGTTTTTTGCTATTAGCTTATAAATTAGAATGAATTGACCTATTATAAAACATGGTGGTTAGAACTTTATCTGTGTTTTTTGGAAGTTTTTTTACAATATTCAATTTTTAAGTGAGTTATAAGCATTCTTAATTTACATTTATTATACAAGCATGTCTCACTTAAAAACTGAATTATCGTAAAAATAACTTCCAACAAAACACAGATAAAGTTCTTACCACCAAGTTTCATAATAGATTGATTCAGTCTAATTTTTAAGCTAGTGGCATAAAACGTGAACTGATGAGCGTAAATTTGGTATGTACGCATTTGTAAAACGGAGACAACACATGTAGGTATGGCATCCTTTTAAGAGGATGTCAAGCACTATTGGTTTTCTCTCTCTCACTCGCAACATAACAAATTACGTTTGGTAGAACCAACCCTGAGTTATTACTTTTGATATTATAGTAAATTCACCTATCATCAAACTTTGAATTAAAACATCACTTATGTTTTACTTTGGCTATTTTAATTTGTATGTAAATTATTACAAATGCTAATAAATTGTTTAAAAATCAAAATATAGTAAAAATGCCAACGTAAAGATACAAATCCTCTTACCTTAAAGTCTGATAATAGGTGAATTTTCTCAAATATTTAAAGTAACAACACAGAGTTGGTTCTGCTAAACATAAATTTGCTATGTTGAGTGTCGGCAAGAAAGGAAACCCAATGGTGCTCTGATATCCTCTTAATTGATAAATGTCAAATACTACTCACCTCATCTCTATTATACAAAACCTATGAACTTGAAATTTAGATTAATGGTTCCTCTAGATCAGTGTTTCCCAACCTTTTCACTTCCACGGACCACTTCGACAATATTTTATAGGTCGCGGACCACCTCACTTTTACAATAACTAGGAACACCTTTTTTTTTTTGCTCTTTAACAAGAATACACAAAATTTATCGAAAAATG